ATGGAATTTATTATCTAAGATGGTACTTTTACAATTCCTCAAATTTGTGGATTAGTAATTAAAAGAAAAAAAAGGATATTTCTCTTACCGGCTTAGTGATATAAAACTTGCAATACGCATTATTTTGTATAATCTCAGACAGTGTTATGCAAGATAATGACGGCCATGTCGATGACCCGCCACACGGCAAAATACCGGCTAATTTCACCTTAAAGCAATACGTCATTTCCTCCGCGAATTGTGAATGAAGAACTTGTATGTCCTTCATCGTCACAGTCTCTTCGATACCCATGTCACAGAAATAGACCAGTACTTCTGTCGAGGACTTTATTTTTAATATTTTAGCACGGAAGTAGGATTTGTCCTTTGCGGAATATACAGTACACAATGCGCCTTCACTCCAATTATTGCGTGGTTCGGAATGATATTTATCGTAGAATTTTTGCATCTTTAACATCAGTTTCTCGTTCTCTTGTTCATGTTCCATCTGTGCAACGTAGATGCAGTCCGGTGTGATCACTCGTTGAATATACACTTCTACCTTGAATGGATCTTTAGGCGTCTCTTCTTTCATGGATTTATCATTCTCCGTATTGTACGAAATACAGCAGTTTTTGACAGTATTATCATCAGATTTCTCCAGTAATGAAACATTATTTTTAACAGCCGATTGTAATTTCTTTTGCGATTTGTTCTTAAATTTGTTACTTTAGAGAAACGAGAAAATAATCAAAGAAAAGTCAAGCATACATTTCGAAAATAAAATGTCTTTATATTAAAAATTTTATGTTTGACATTAAGTACTCACCTCATGACATAATCATTAACAACACCTGTGATTTTTAATTGCCGGCTGACATTGACGTTATTGCTATACATTAATCCACTATATCCGTCATCTGTTTTTTTTCGAGGATTTACCATGATAGATTTTGTGTTACTAAAGAGATTCAGCAAACTTATTATAGCTTCCTGTTTCCATATTCCATTGGATTCAGGCATTATATACATTAGCGATATTTTTATAGCCTAAATCAAACGAAAGAAAACGATGAATTATGTCATATCGTGCATAGAAAAAGACTTACTTGGGC